AGAGAGAGGGAAGGAGGAGTTGTTTGGGTATATTATTGATAGGATTAAAGAGGGGCTTTCGCTATTTTGGGGGAAGTTGAGAGGTTTGATGGGAGTGGAGGAGATGATAAAATTGTAGCTATTGGTTTATATCGAGGGGAAAGAGATGTAAAGAATAAGTACATGAACAGGGTAAAACAGGTTGAAAAAGGAATTGTGTGGATATTTTATTAATGGTGGGATTTATAGATACCTCTTATTGTCTGGGAGAAGTCGAGGGGTTTGATGGAATGATGGGAATGATGAAATTATGACTGTTGGTTTATATCGAGGGGAAAGAGTTGCGAGGATCAGACGTAGGTAGGTAGATGGGAAGTACATGTAGGATAGAGAAGAGAGAAGAGAGAACGAGTGTGGACAGTGTGAAGGTGATCATGAGGAGGTTAATTACTCTTTTGTAAATTCACACTCCCAACGAGTTTCTTAAAAAATAAACAAAAAAAAGATTTTAATTAGCAGGTTCGGAGGGTTTGGTTTTATTTGTGTGAGGTATTCATAGTGTGTATTGGGGAGGAAATGAGATTTTGGAAGAGTATATAGATAAATGATAAAAGTGAAGATAGAGATAGGATTTGAGGTATGTAAGATCTTATTATATTTATGTATGAAGATATAATGAGGTGTATTGGTTCGTATATTCATATTTATCTAAATATATTCATATAAGTATGAGATGGATTTCTTATTTTTCATTAATTTCTGGGCTATGTAATGGGATGGGATGGGAGGTGAAAGATGTGAGATGGATTTCTTGTTATGTCATTTGTATAGAGCAACATGTTTTACATATTAGCTATGAGACATCAGATTCTCGATTCGGGATACTTTTATGCAGATAGATAGTTAGATAGATGAATGGATTGTTGGAGGTGATTCTTCTTCCTTATTCCTATCAAGTTTCTGATTTTTGGTTCTTTGGGGGTGGAGGGGGGGATTCTTCCTAGTATAGATAATGAATGAATGGATGAACAAGGTTTGAGGAGGTTAAGAAGTTTTCAAAGTTTTGAGAAGGTTGAGGAAGGATAAGAGGGAGAGATATAAGGAGTAGTATTTTTGTAGTACTTCTATAGACTATATATACAGCTAGATTCGGAGTGCATTTGAGTTTGCATAAATGTGCAACAGCTGTATAGGCATTCGATTTCCTGGGGAAGTTCGGTTTGGCTTGGAGGTTCTTGGGGATGGTCGATGGTTGATGATTTGAGCTCGAGGTTGGAGATTGCTTAGTGCTAGGTGAGAGTGAGTATGAGTGTGTTTGAGTTTTATAGTAATAGAAATGGTAATGGGGAGTGATGGTGGGAAATGGTTGGAATAAGTATTTCTAATTATTTCGACTTTTTGATAGGTAGATATATATGTTAGGCAAAGTCCAATATACGGAATTAGTTCACTTGTTTTCATAGCTCGTTCTAGATTGCACTTTTGTATGACTTTCTTGGGGATAAGCGAGTAATTATTAATATACCGAGTTTTCCTATGCAATAAAGATGAGGTATACATGGGACTCGGGATGAGAGTTTGAGATATCATTGAGCAATATGAGTATGGGAATGGGAATGTAATTCCTTTATACCCAGTTATTAAATATGGATCATAGTCACTAGGTATATTCTGACCTGCAACTTGCATGCTTCTTTAGTCCAGGCGAGGAATAGGGTTTCTTTATTTCGGGAGTGGTTCTTCTTTACTGGTTTGGGTGTTGTAATATTAATGGAAGTTTGGTATCATGATTCATGGTGACGAATGAGAACAGATGGGTTTGGAAGGGAATTTGTTATTATAGTAAGTGATATTTGTATATGTATCTTATATGTTTGAGGACAGGAATTGGCTGAAATAAGTAGTTTTGTTTGTTTTGTTTGGTGATTGTTGGATTGTTCGACTGATGGTTAGATAGATGGAAGTAATTCGAAGGAAATCTGATGCGAAGTAAGATCTTACAACAAGTGTTCGTCTGCATCAAGTGATACGCAGAGGCACATTTGGAGTACATATGCATATGCATCTGCATCTGAATATAACTTTTCCGGGAGGAGCTGAGTTCAATTGGGATGGGATCGGTGATAGGTGATTAGAGGAAATAAATACCTATTTAAGTCTTACATTAGTAGAATCAATGGATGCTACTAGGTAGCATTTAAATGATCTAGAAAGTTTCTTGTCCTACTTTTGAATCTATTTCTTTTCGCGGTCATTAATTGGATAGGAAGAGTTCGGAGTATTATGATAGATATCTCCCCAATGAGTGTTGATGGTTGAATGCTGTACGGAACACTGCATACTCTATATAACCAACCATCCAGACGCGGAATCAGTTCAAGTACCTAAACATTGTACTCTTCTTTCCTTCCTTGACAAGTGGATAGACTCGGAGTAAAATGCCAACACATATTAAGTTTACCTAGAGGTTAAAACTGCTTTGATTGAATGGCTCATCAAGTGGTTTTATTATCAAAGTCAAACCAAAGTATGAAGCCGGGATATTGAACGATGTAAGAGTCAAGATCATAATCGGCTTGGGTCTCGGCCTCGTAACGGACATGAGGTAGTATCGCAGATATATTACCCACATACCATATCATACCTAGGTACTCACCATATTTTTATTCTTAATCAATTCATCGAAAACAGAATTCACAACATATTTCTATGCCATCAGCCGTGGCCACAGCCTTGCTCGTCGTCATTATTTTTCTTCCTTTGCGCTATTAATTCTTTTCTTTTATCGTGGCACCACAAGTACGATCATCTATCCACCATCCTCAAGGATAGACATACCCATTGAATAAACATTGCTGCAGCTCTGCAGCGCTGCAAGCAAATCGTCTTGTTGAATTTGAGGGGACGATGCTGGAGTTCATGCATATTCGGATGTACATAATCATACATACATCCATCCATACATACAACAATGGTATGTATAGTATCTAGAAAAAAACCACGAATATCTACTGGTTAAAATTGATCATGCAACAGAAGATAATTCCTTGGTAACCTTACGCAACGCCGTTTATGAATGGAGAATACAATGAAAAGAATGCAATAAGAATGCAAAGAATCGGATTTACATTGAATAGAAGAGGGGAAGTAACGAACGACCATACAGATTATAATGTGCTATTCCAATGATTTTTGACACGTCAGTCGTGGTTATTATATGGTGGTATATTTCATCCACCTGTTCATTTTATAATCATCCGCAGAGCCCCGCGCTTTTATTACAAGTTAGTTTCTCGGGATATCAGAGAAACGGGATTTAATCAATGGATGGATGGATAGGTGCTTGGCCTAGCTACTTGTTCTATGTATGAGTTGGTTATAAGTTATAACTTCTTTGAAATGCATGCTCTCCACTTTTTTGGCTTTGGCTTTGTTTTTTGGTTCTTCAATTGATCTGATATGTCGATTTCATTTTTGAGATTCCACTTCGAGCTGAGGGGTAATTTCATATAATATAATGAGTCCCTGAAGACATTTCACGGACACTCATTACTCAATATTGAGCATTATTTCCTTTATGTTTCTCCTCGTCAGAAACATTTCTGTTCAGCATCGCATCATACCTTAATGTCGACTCTCCAGTACCAATCCGGAACAGCAACAGCAGCATGGAGGAACTATCCGGATGCTGGCTTGAAGCCATCCGCGCCGACACCGTCGCAATAGAACTCCTCAAAATCCGCACCCACCTAACCAGCACTTCTACCCCCCTTCTCTCCACCTCCTCTCCCTCCTCCCCATATCCCAGCACCTTCACGCGCTCCTCATCCCCCTCTATCAAGGACCCGGAAATCATCACTGCCATCCTGCGACACGTCGAACAAACCTCCCGACTCCTTCGGGACCTATACGATCTCTTCCCCATCTATCGAATTCGTGTTCCGGTTATCGTTTATTATCTCACCGTTATCTTACCCTGTTTGCAAAAAACTCTAAGAGATATGCTGGCGTTTCTCACGTGTGAGGACTTTTCGCTGAGTTTGAGGTGGTTACGTATGTATGAGAGATTGAATGAACAGGGGGGTATGACTTTGACGTTGAGGTTTGTTATGTATGTGGATTTTTTGGTGCAGTGTGTTAGGTTATTGACTGGGTGAGTTTTTTTTGGTTTTCTTTGTTATGGTTTGTAGAGGGGTTTTAGACTGGGACGGGAAGTGGGTGGCTAAGGGTTGGATTGATGTGATGAAATGTGTGGAAACTGGATAAAGTAATTGGATAGAGGTAATGACTGCTAGTTAGATCTCCAACATATGATCCTACGACACTAGAATTATTGCGCATAAGAGTTCTAAGACTGAGGTCTTTGAGGGGAATTCCAGGTATGTTTCTATCTCTTCTCTAATATTTATACTATACTAGACATATCTTCTTCTCTGTATTCTATAATATTGTATAGCAAATATGTATGAAAGTACAGAAAAATGCAGATATAGATGCCTGACTCACATTCAATATTCTAGCTCCTCCAATCCCGGTACAACCACACCTTGCACCTACACAACCAAATCTTGTTGATTTAGAGGTATGTAAGCGAAATTTTTATTGGAATCTCGGGTTTTGTTGGGAATGGATTAATGCTTGAGTGATGGGAGGAGAGTGTGATGGCTTTTACGAGGAAGCAAAAACCTCGTGGAAAAGAGGAGGGACTTGTGAGTATAGAGTATAGTGGAAGATTGAGAGAAGATGAGAATAAAGAAGGTCGATATTGAGATACTAACATAAAACAGAGACGTCATTGGGCGGAAAAAATCTTCGATGATCATGCGCAACCTCTTTCGCAAACGTGTTTAAAACATAGACGAGAGTATGTTTGTCTTTTCATTTATGTGGATGGATTTTTTCGTAGCTTGGGCAAGAAGCAGAGGGAAGCTCTCTTGGGCAGAAAAAGGGTGTGATGGAATTAAGAGAAGATTTGATGTGTAATGTACCGAGGAAATGATTGGGAACACAACGACTGATGGAATGGACATAGCTCAAGATGTTTTGGTCCATCTATGAATGAAATGAGATTAGGTATATCTCCTCATTCAAAAGTTTTGTTTAAATTGTATGTTTTCCTTCCCTTTCACCCGTCTTTTTATTCCACTCCCTCGTCTTCTTTCATTTCACTCTCACCTCTCTCCTTACCCTCCTTCTACCGTCGTCAACCCCATCAACACCTAACACCTAACACCTAACACCTAACACCTAACACCTAACACCTAACACCCTCTAGACCCTTCGACAAAAATCGCCTTTCAATAGCCCTCTACCTCGACGACACAACTCTCGACCAATCACCCCGTTTCCTCTGTCGCTGGATGGACAAACATAATAATCCTCATTATTCTTCCTATGGTGTACATGAATTATGTATTAAAAGAAGAGGAAGCGCATTATGTTTTAAAAGGTGGAGTGGATATAGGGAACATCCTACCAGTTGGATGGCTTTATTCTTTAAGTGAGTTTTCTTTTATCTCTGTCTGGTTTAGGGGAGGGAAAATAGGCGGAATGAAGAAGAAGGGGAAGGGGGAAAGGGAGGGGGAATGAAGAGAGTAAATGAATGGGTAGATGTACCGACTGGGAGTTATGTGCTGATCAAGCTTTATTTGCTAGAACTTGGCAACGTTAGTATATTTTCTTAAATATCTCTTTATCAAAGTGACTATATTCTCTGAAATAGGCAGAGTAAGATTAACTCAACATCACAGGAATGGTACTCTTCCACTGCTCATTCGTAGCATTGAAAGCACGCTCTCAACTCACAAATCTGATACCAAGAGATGACTATATAATTTCTGGGGAAATTCAACTTTTTCAGGGGCATGTTATTTTCCTTCCTTTTATCTCATTTCTTCATTAACCACTTTCCATTTCCCTTTTTTCCCCCCATCCTAGAGAATGCGCAACGGACAATTGTAAATCTTATATATGAGATTTGATATTATTGTATTGGGTACTTACTGATATTTCTTGAATGATAGTCAAATAGTAGACGATGGATTCTACCACTCACTTTCCGTCTACGAGGATCGATATACTCATACGTTAAGATTGCATGCTGCGGTTGCAAATGGGGAGTTGAGGAAATGTCCTGTTTGGACTGCTTTTAGTAATCCTCCTTTTCTCTGTCTTCTTTCCCTATCATTCCCTCTCGCTCCTATTTTCACCTTATTCCTTCCCACCTCCCTAATCATCCACTCTCCTTTTTTTCTTTTCCGCTTATCCCCTCCATTCTCACCCACCCCTCCCGCACATCTCCCTAACACCAACCCTAGTAACCGATCTCCAAATGTCCTCCGACACCTGGATCGCGCGACATACCCGCCATCGTGTTTGGATCAAAGATTTACATCTCTATGTTTTCTGCAATGAATATTCTCGCCGAACGCAAGTTAGAAAACATGGGGAATTTGAATTATATTTTGTGCACGGAGCTGGTATGTTTCTTATTTTTATTTTTCTTTTCTTTTTCCTGGAAGGGATTTGATGAATTAATGATGAGTTTTTATTTCTTCTCTTATGTAGAATTTATCCATATTTTTCTGTAGCCAATTTCAAATCCTAGAAGATACAGGTAGAGCGCATAGGGAGAAGATTCATTATTAGAAAAAAAAATTTGTTGAAGAAATACATATACCACTAACACGACCACCTCAACAGCAGCAGAAGCATTCATAGAAATTTTCTACCCCCTAGATTCCGAATCCGGATCCGAAGAAGGAAGCGGATCGCTAGTGGATCAATAATCGAAGCGAAAATTCGAAGCAAATATTCGAACCCCCTTGATTTTCGGCTATCGCGGTTTGATACTACGTATACGTAAATAAGCTACGGATTTTTGGCATTTTATCTGAGACTGAAAAGAAAGGAAAGAAAGAAGAAAGTGCAGTGTTGAAGGATAAATAATAAGCTACTCAAATCGAGGTTTTATTTAATTGCTATTATCGATCAATCCAATCTGAGCTTTAGCTCTTCATCTCCACGAAGCTCGAAGCTCGAAGTTCAAATTTCTCGACCGGTCGATTCCTCTATATCTATAACACGAATACATTATCGAATTATGGAATCATACGTTTTATCTCCTTTACCCATTGGAACCTCAAAATCTGGGCTTTTACCATCCTTCATTCACCAAGCATTCGACGTTTTCGCTTCACTCCACTGCATCGCCCTCCAACTTTCCAACTCATACTACTCCCTTCATCGCTCATCTCCCTAGCAGGGAAAACTCAAAAATTATAATTTCTCTACATTTATATTTCTCTTCCAAGAATGCAATGGAGGATACAAAACCAAAATATACGATTTCTCTCTCTCCCTGTCTCTCTCTCTCTCTCTCTCTCTCTCTCTCTCTCTCTCTCTCTATTCTAGAAACCCATCTTACACTCTCATCTTCAATTTCAATTTCAATTTCAACTTCAACTTCAATTTCGATTTCATGATACGATACGATACGATACGATACCCGGAGGATATCTCATTTCTTGTTTCTTATTGCATTTACTTTATTATTTCTTTCCTTCCTCTCAGTTTAAGCCTCTGAAATTCAAATATTCAAATGTTCATTTACTCTATCCATCCATCCATTCATTCATCCGTGCATATATATATTTCTAATTTATCTTTCTACTCATATTTATCTTACTACGTAAGCTTAATCTTCTACTCTCTCAATTTGTTTGTATACATATATACATACATACAGTAGTAGCATTACATCTTCCTCTATATAATCACTCTATCTATCTCTACCATTCCACTCCCACTCTACCATCTCACTCACCTCTCCCCTCACCGCATCTCCCCACGCCTTCCACCAGACCACCACACCCCAAATAAACAACAAAATATTCCAACATCAAACAATATCACAAACTACCCATCTAGCCCCTATGCAATCATCCCACAAGAAGATAAAATTGTCGAGATAATTAATTATACAGAGTATTCTTACATACGGAATTGATTCAAATTATAAGATGTAATCTTACTTTTAAATAGTAGCATGATTATATTATTTATTACCTTGGAAGGGGGAAGAAAGAGACGTTCAAGTTTAAAGGATTCTTTGAGTTATGTATGATATATGGTGCGATTTCCGTTTGCTTAACACTACACTATTCATGTCCTTAGTATCACTAAAATAACACTATTGAATGTAATCGATGTTTATAATTTCATCATCTAGGATTTCATGCACCTAATAGTTTTTCCCCCTCAACTACCAACTCTTAGTTAATTCTAGAATTTCCTCTACGATCCACTTCTCATTCTCCATAAACCCCCCTCCTTCCCCAAAACCGGGCCCATCTATCAACCAGAACAAAGCCACGGGTAAATATGCGGTTGTGGATCTACCCCTTTCATTCGATATCACCAATACACCCCTCTTGCACATAACATACATCCACTCCAAAACGAAGGATTCCATCCTTCGTCCTCATCTTCAAAGTATGCAAATTCGCTATTTTATCTCCCCTCTAATACCTCTATCCTAACGCCACACCCCAATAAATGTAATTTAGGGAGAAAATGAGAAAATTCTCGCATGACTCTAGCATAGATGAATGTCATGAGTTGGTACAAGACAAGATCGAACATGATCGGCGATTGTAGGAAATAAGTGGAACATGAGTTGTAAGGAAAGACAAGACCATTTTTGATCATTCAACTAAAACTGAATTCCGAATGTTTGTTGTGGTCCAATAATGGAAAGTTTTATCCAGAATTATGGCGTTCAAGGAGCAGTATTCTTACTCAATTGTGGCCCCGACAGCTTTACCGGCGGAGTAAGGTTTTGTGATCGTGGACTTGGTGATAATGGAGCGATTGGAGGGAGAATAGCGGGTGTTGATGTCCCATTTGATGCTGGACGAGGGGGGGAATGTTTTGTAGGAGATATTCCGCTAATTGAAGAGGGCAAAGCTGATGCATGACCTGGGTCAAGTGGATCTTGATCCAATCCTGGAGATGATGCAGTTATCATAGTGAATCTTGAAGTTCCACTTGGTGTAGCGGCATGACCATTTTGTTCAAAAGATGAGCTTGGAATGGGCCCATTCTTTTGAGATGGTGTCAATACTGGAACCCCTGTAAGCGGTGACGAAAAGTTGAATGAGCTACGACGATCATTTTGCTCTCGATGAAGACCATTAAGTGGTTGTGTTGGTACATCTCCATTATTTTTGAGATTAGGCAATTCCAAACTTTGTTGAATTGGCGATGATATTGGTGAGCTTTGATGCTTAGAAGGAGATCGGTTGTACCGAGCACCATTTGTTGTTAAGTTCTTTGGAGGTGGAAGAGATGTTGGGCTGTGAGGAACAGGTGAAGAGAAGGGATTACTGTTAGCTAAGCCATTGTGTCGTGGCAGAGATGGACTTCCTCCCATAGGGACTTCAATGGATTGCCTAACATCGGTTTTACCGACCGGAGAACCTGCGCGCTCATTCCTGTTGGTGAACTTCGGTGGTAAGATAGGTGGCGGTCGATTACCGTTATTGGTTTGACGCTGAGGTGAAGAAATCTTTGATGATTGGGCTGGCTTACGTGCACCGTTTGTAGTAGAGAATAGATGCATTTTAGGTAATGCTTTCTGTGGTGAGGCTGGAGGTGCTGATGATTTACCATTTGGCAAAGCTTCATTGTCCATATTTGAGACGCCATTTTGTTTGGATGGTACTGGCGAAGATGAGGATGCCGGTCGACCGAGTTTGATCTTAATTGGTGGTTGATTTTTGGCTTTCTCCGCGTCTTCGGCACGACGTTTGCAAGTAGTGCAGATAAATTCAAAGTCCTCGCGATCAGCCTCAGCTTCACTAACTCCAACGCACTTGCTGTGCTGCCAAATGTTACATTTCTCACATGCAATGCTGTGAGTACCATCGTCTATTTGCCCATAAGCACCACAGATGCAGTCAAAAATCCAGTCATCTTCCTCGTTAAGTTGTTCAAGCGCCTGCTTCTTTCTTTCGATTTCGGCCTTCAGGTGACGTTCAGAGAGACGACCTTCGCCTGATCCCACCTTCTTACTATCCTCGGAAAGATTGGCCAATTCTTCTTCATGAAGAATGCGACGTGCTTCTCTCTCCTTTACCCGCTGTTCCCTAGTCATCATTCGTGATTCTCTTTCTTTCTCCAGCTTAAGCCATTTCTGTTGTTCTTTCTTTGCCATTGCTAAATCCTGTTGCTTCTTACGTTCAGCCTCTCTGAGTTCTTCTTCTTGCTTTTGTTGCTCCATCTTGCCGGCAATTCTGCTGGATCTCTTTGCCGTGGCTAACTTTTCAATATTGATCAATTCGCGCTGCTTTTGGACTTCCTTGCGTTTTCGGGCTTCTTCTTGTTTTTCCAGTAGTGGTAAAACATCATCAACAATACGTTTTCGTAGAATCTTCTCGTTTGGGTCCCGGGTTTTCTCCATAGATGCCGCAAATGTAGTGAAGTCTTCGAACGAAACAGCAATGCATTCCCACTTTGCTCCTCCAAATCCATCATCAATCTTTTCATCTATTGGAACTTCTGCTGATCCTTCGGTTTCACTCTCAACTGTGTCTGTTGTCTTTCTTCGTTTACTTGCTCTTGCAGCTGCCTTGCCCTTCTTTGAATTCTTTTTGTATGCTGGAGCTGAGGGAGGTGGCGGAGGAGGTTCGGTACGACGATAAAGTCGATTGTCATCTAGCACATAGTATTCGCGATCATCCGAATCCCATCCACAAGGTTCAATGCGCTATTCCAAGAATTAGTGAAGTTCAGTGTTGAAAATTGTTGCTTACCCAAGAGGTCTGCTCAATATCCTTGGTCTCTTCCATTCTCTCACGGATACGTTCTGGGCTGATCATAGCCCATTGGGTAAGTTGTTGCAAGATTCTAATCTGTATAACTATTAACAAAAGCAGCTGATATAAGTCGGTAAGTGCTTGCCTTAGTAAATGCATCGAATTCTGCGAACTTTGCGGGTTCCTCCTCAGTACCATAAGGATTGTGCTCAGGTGCTTTGGCAACATATTGTCTTCTTGTATATTCATCGAAAATCTCAGGTCTGTTGAAGGCAATTAGCCAAGGGTTTGATAAAGAATTAAGATATCGAAGGAGTTAACTTACGTTAGTCCTCGATGAGAAGAGACGAATTTTAATAACGCAAGGCCAATCTCTGGCAGAACAGTCGAGTGTGTTTTCGAACATTCCAACTCAAGTTCCTATCATGTTACAATGAGTATTTAATATTGATGTAGTATTTGGATAAGGCTAGAGGGAAGGCTGAAATCTTACCTCGATTCCAATATTCTCATCGATTTTGACAGTTCTGCCAAAGATGAAAATCCATTGCGCAAGATTTGCAAATTCCCACATATTCCTAAGTCGATCGATCATACTCGGTTCTTGTGGAATCTCGCTGGTTTCCATCTCCTGCCTCCCACGCTTCCTGGCAGAGACCATCCTGAAAGCAAGTTCAAGATCTCGAATTAAGTTGTGCAAGGCAGTGATAGTTGATGTCGCAAATGCAACTAATAAAGCCGATTAAGGAAAGATGGATTGATAATAGTATAATAGAATAATTTGTGAAGATATTCGCAAAGCAAGTGTGTGCTGTGTTGTTTCTCGAATTGTAGAATTATTTGCGCAAGGGATCAAGTATTCCAATGTTGTATAGGATGCACAGTATTTGATGGACGCGGTTGGATTTGACTTGACGCGAACTTGCTTAACTCATCTCCATATTAATTTATTCTTGGGGTATTTGACACCTGATGGAGTGCTATACTGAAGTTTCGAACCTGAGGCATGAATTTTTGGAAAATAGATTATCCGTGGTGTTAGTAATCGATTCTTGGGGTAACGTAACCTACCTAATTCACTCACTACGTGCACTTCCCTCAACTGACAAAATCACGTAAAGAATGTACGAGGAATCAGCTTCCCCTGCCGTATTAATAGGAATGAGGGACGGTAGATATCTTTGAGTAAGAAGAATGCTTGTTTCCGATATTGGATGAGCAAAAGTTATCGACTTCGGCTTACTTGTCCCATATGCCCATATGCCCATCGCATTGCTCAGTTATTGCATCCTGATTGGGAACGTGATTAATGCACTTCCAACTACGACAAACTAAAGGAACTCCAGCTTCAGCAACACTAATAGCGTCACATCCCCCTTTCAAGTGGTATAGCCAATAGACCTAGAAGGAAATTCCGCAGTTAAGTGAGGCTTCTATTCCGATCTAGCGGTTGTGCTATATCGCATCAGGCATATAAGAAAATGGACCCCCCCTTCGCTCAAACTTCAATCAAACTTCATTTCTTTCCTTTCCAATCTTTGTATTCATTTCAACAAATTATGCAAAAAATAAACTGCCCAAAACAAAAATCTCCTAATCTCAACATCAAGACCTTGAGACTTCACTTCATGATTAGGTCAATCAAGTGAGATGCGAGAACACAATAGAGCTCCTCATCAACAGCTAACCCTTCATGTAAGCTCATTTACTCGTGCTATTAGCTTCTCTGAATGTACTAAGAAGGTTTCTAGGGGACTTAGTTCCTCTTCTACCACTCAATAGTCGAAGCTTCGTTCACTACCCTTACATCATGTGGTCCTTCAATCAACCAACCCATGGCGAGAAATTTAGCTCTCCATTCACATCGCGTATAATCGATAGTCTTGAGACTTCTCATCTAATGATCTATTTGCAAGCATGACCAGTGAGAATTTGGATCCTCTAGGAACACTCTAACCTCTGTTCGTCATACCGGAAGGTTTAGTAACACAACTGCTATCACGGACAATTCTGACCACGGAATCGAGCTACCGAGACAGATATCCCAATGATAGCATGAATGGGAGTCGAGATACCAACATAGCTCGAGACTAGGAGAGCATAGTATAAGCTATTACTTAGGTAAACACTTTTGCTATGGCTTGTCAAAGGGATATCTGGGAAATCTTGCGTTTGCACCCAAAATTATACGTGCGTGGTCTTTGTGGTAGAGACTTGGATTTATTTCATTTTCCAACTGGCTGTTCTTACTCCGTTGTCAATATGTTACTACGTTAGTCATATAGTATAGTATAATATCAAAGTAGCAAAAGAAATGCATTGATTTGAATCAAATTGAGAAAAGACCGAACTATAACCAACAATTACTGCACAAAGCGACTCTTTCCTTTCCACCTGATGGTCCCAGATGAAGTCTTTAAGAATTCATGGCCTGCTCTACTGTCCTGCTAAGACCGTTCTGCCAATTCTCACTATATCCGCGTTCACAGATGAAGCGGAAAGGTTTGAGATAATTACGACTCCTGAGGAGGTGAGTCGAAGCAGATCTTGCGCGTCCCATCAAAGTCATCTTCTCCAATGGATACTTCAATCGGTGTTAGACATGCTGTGCGAATATTTAACTATAATTGGTGGAACGACAGAAAGCGTGAGAATGGGAAATACAATACCAGATGCAAGCATCGGCCTCAGAAAGCTCCTTTTTACATCTTTGGGATATTGTTCGAAATCATTATACAATGGTGGATAATGCAACTCCTCGTCTAATCACATTTGGCCCATCAGTATGATGTACTCCGTAATTATTAATCGAACCAATTGAGATTAAGCCCTATAAGTTAGCATTTAACTCACTGTAAATTAGTTCTTGCATACTACCGATAGAAATCGAAAGCAATCTAAATTCGATATATACCAATCATTAAGTCTAGTACCCCACTTCTCGGCCACCCCTAATCTCGGCCACTTTTTTACACCAAAAACAACGAAAATCGATCTTTATAACTTTTGTTAAAGTGAATGGTTCCTGCGTAGCACGTGCACAGGGCACTAGTCCTATTAGGACTAGATTGAGAAGCTCTCTGTAAGAGAGCTTCGCACTTCCGTAGAACTTAGAAGAGAGATTAACCTACTAGACCAATATTACCTCAGTTCTGCCCTATCAGCTTCCCACTATTCCCTGTGTGAGGTCATTCCTTTTAACATAAATCTATAATTCAAATTTCATCAAATTCGATATATTAATTATAAAGTTATTAATGGGTGAAAATCACGATTTTTGGTGTGAAAGGGTGGCCGAGAAGTGAGGTACTAGACTTATAGGCTATTTGGCCCTATTTGATCTAGTTTAAGTTAAAACTGGAAACTTTACAGGGGCTGCTACAGTGTTGATAGCCTGTAAGGCCCTGTAAAGCACGACATTTGCATGGCTTCTGATAAGCAACAGGACTCATGAAGGAAAGAAGGGCGTACGTTAGAACCTTTGGTGTTTTTGTTATTGCCACATCTGATTAGCTATACAAATTACTGCATTGATTTAATCAATAAGTAAAATTATAATAGTATGACTGAGGTTTATGTTAGGAGGCAAGGGCATATAATTCTATACAAAACCGACTTTATAAAAATGATCGATTATATCTCTGACCTAGTTATAATGGATTCTCGAACTCCCCACCTAGGTACTCAAGGAACGATGCTATACTACTAGCCGCTAACGTTATTGCTCCACCAGCTTACGTACACGTACATTCAAAATAAACCCTTTGCAGTTGATCATGATCAACTTCTAACCACTAATGTTGTTGCTCCTACTAGCTCCACCAGGTCCACACCTTTTACAACTGCTCGTAACCAACTTCTAACCGCTAATCGCTGCAGACTTATACACGACGTCCCAGACGTTCGTCTAGCAGTCGCTCTCTTTGCCTCATCCTACCCCTCATTTTGTTGCACATGTACCTCTTAGACCCATCCATGTGTGCGCTTAACTTTCAATTTCAAACAAATCGAAACGGATTATCCAAAAGCTCCTGCACATCCTTATCCAACTCTTTCCAAGCAATACATTTTCTCCTCATGCATTCCATACTCATCTATCAATTTGCTATCGCACATGCAAATCCAATAATGGATCCTTCAAAGACTTTGATCTCGAAGAGTCATCTGCAGATTCGGACGATGCATTTGAGTTTATAGATCTCGGATTTTGTGACGGCGCTGCACAAATATCGAATTTAGCCCAGGCTACATGGACTCTCTTAGGGAAGGCAAACGCAGCCGCTGATATGTGAACTCACATTGCGGTTTATCGTAGTAAATGCTACCCAAAAGGGCTATGGTCATAAAGAGGACTGCAATTCCGATGTTGACATATGCTGTAGTTGACAGTGACATTGTCGCAGGAGAGATGTCTTTAGTTAGAAACGAGAGATGATTTATCGAAGAGCCTCTGAACTGGGTCACTGGGCCCAGGGTGATTTTGTCTGGAGATCTTGAGGTTTGCGATTTCATTGAACTCATACGTATCAGCCTTAGCGTATTTTTGAAAGCCACAACTTCAAGGAAGGTTTCGTGAATAGAGCTTCTACTCAAGCGGTTCTATTTAAGCAGTGCTTTGTTAAATGCTGAAATCGAATACGGCTTTCAGCATGTTCTTATGCACCAGAATGTTGCTGCACCTACAATATTGCTGCAGCTACACAAATTAGGCGCAAAACTCCTTACTTCATGCACTACCCCCTTTGGTGACAGGGACCTTGTCCAGTGAGCCTATAAGACCGAGCATACCATGCTTATCTAATAAATTTCTAGCATCTTTTGAGACTTACCGTTTCTCCAGATTCACTTATCCCATACGCTTTCTTGGATTTTTATCTTTTTCCTCACGAACACTTTATAATCATTGAAACTCTCAATTGGCAGCCGCCCTTCGTGTCTCGACCACAGTTCCATTATTGTACCGCCCATAATGACTAACATAAGTGCGGGCTACGATGATACAGAGCCAAGCAGCAACAGCCCGATATTTATCAAGCAAAATTCGCAGTCAGTAAGGCTCGCAAAGCCCAGTGGTAACGGCATTCTTGATATCGACTTCTGCCACAGCTCTTCCACACTATCTACGGTAAACAAGCTCGATGAAACCTCCGATAAAGAATATCCACAATCGAAAAGACTTGCATCTTCTATGAAGCTTAAGAAGACCAAAACCACGTCTCAATGGATTATCGATCATCAGATTGGTATTTGACACCACTAGACCTTTTTGCTTTTTAATAAATATCTAACTTTGTACTTAGGGATTTCAATCAACTTCCTTATTCTTCTTTCCACAGCCCACATATGCTTTCCCAATATTCGCGTACAAACTGGGAAATTTTTTCAACTTTCCTATCACAACCCAAATAGTGGGAATTATGCCATAGGTCCAAATGACATCTGCATCGTTATATATTGGGTCGTTCTATTCACAGCATTGCGGGCAACCGTGATGGATTATGTTCTGATGCCATTTTCGACAAAAGCCGGCGTCAAGAGGGTGAGGGATCAGGCAAGGTTCTGCGAGCAGGCATGGCTACTCGTTTACTACTCTGTCTTCTGGACAATGGGAATGGCAAGTCGTTTAGCCCTATTTATATGGGTTTTGCATTTCTAATAATCGTAGTACATCATGATCACATCAGACTACTGGCTCAACCTCAAAAATATGTGGACCAATTTTCCTATTCGTGAGATCTCGGGGTTATCCAAATGGTACACATTGGCGCAATACGCATTTTGGTTGCAGCAATTCCTTGTCCTACATGTCGAAAAACGTAGAAAAGATCACTGGCAAATGTTTGCCCATCACGTCGTCACTACGCTCCTAATATTCTGCAGCTACTGCTATCATCAAACAAGAGTTGCCAACCTAATTCTCTGCATCATGGATGTAGTTGATCTCTTCTTTCCAGTACCCGTCTCCCAACCCTTTCTCTAAATCTTCAGCTAACAAGACGTTCAGACCGCTAAATGTCTCAAATACGCCGGCTACGATGTCCTCTGCAACATCATGTTCGGCCTCTTCATGATCGTCTGGGTCGCCGCGCGCCACATCATTTTCATGATGGCTACCTATTCCGTCTACGCACATAGCGATACCGCTAGCCCACCAGGCTGCTACAAAGGTCAGATGGGATCAATCACCGGACCATTTCCACCATCTGACCGCTACGCACATCTTCTCGAACCCTTTATCCGGCCTGGGGGACTGGTATGTTGGACTGGTCCTGTGAAGTGGGGTTTTGTAAATTCACTTCTTTTTTTGCAAGTTCTTACTTTGATATGGTTTTCTATGATTTTGAAGGTTGCACTTAAGGTGCTAAAGGGAGGGAAAGCGGATGATACGAGGAGTGATAATGAAGAAAAAGCAGAAAACGAAAATGGAATGGATGCTGAGAGCGAAGAGACCCAGTCGAAAGAAAAAGAAGAACATGACCTCGATACCGCTCAGTATTCGGATAATGGACAAAGAATGAAGTCGAAACCATTGGGAGAAATCGGTGCGGAATCCCTCAATTTTCGAGGCAGAACATTGCTTGCATACCAAAACAAACCTAAGAAGAACACTGGACACATGACCGGAGCCAGCGCTGTCAAGAACTAATTCTCAAATTACAGCATTCTTCTTTGAGGATCGCATACTGGCAAGGAAGGAATTGAACTGTTACCAGTCGTAAACGACGATGTGGGGTAACTTGACTAATAAGCAGAGAGTATAAGTATATCCTCATACTTTCCATTCCATATAGAATCACTTCTAAATAATAAGCAATTGATACCAATCAGCAATACCCAAACATCATCTGTATCGCGTTTATACTATTAATCGACTTATAATTATATAAACGCCGTTTTTACATGATTTTGGAGCTCATATTGCATTTTATCAATCCCTCAAAAGTTATAGTGCTCCCATGTCTACAACATTCTGATATTTCGCAATCTTATATTATCCATCTGCTGCCCCCCGCTCTACAAAATACCCATTACCCCAGGTAATAAGTTCCCATTCCTTCTCAGTCCCCCCTCTTCGTGCTAGGCATTATGCAAGCCATTTGAATGCTTGTTTTTGTGTATGCTCAGGTCTTTTTCTTACACCACCAATTAATTCATTATGCTCTGCATTTTCAGAACCATTTAACAGCAGTGACCCCGCTATTGAGGTCACAGACGTATACAGTATAGTTTATAAGCTGTTTGTCTCGATCGGTATAAGACTTCTTTCGAGGCATTCGAGCTAAGATGTACTGTCATTGTGCAGTGCGTCCGCTAAATCGTACAATGATACTGTTTGCCTCACTAATCCAAGATCCTTCGCGATTTGGATGAGTATAGCAAACACTGTTGTGCTTTACCTGCGATTTAAAACCGTTGATATGGTGTTTAATGGACATATTTTGGTTCATTTCCTAGGATAAAACGTAAAAGAGTACGAATTGGTAGCATTTTTAAAGAATCCAAAAGTAGGGTTTTTTTTTTGATACGTGTAAAATTGTAAAATAAAACGTCGTGTTCTTCGAATGCTATACCACCAACATATATCAAGATCTTCTATTGATCACTTTAATGAATTGAATTTAAGCTTTTCTTGAAGGCTCCCATAATGATAATGCTGAAGAAGATAAAACTTAGCTATGCAACAAAGATACAGATCAGGAATGTGATGATTCTGAATTCAGAATCCTCATGGCCATCGAGCCTGATACTGTCCTGTCTCGCCACATTAACTTTCTGAAATCTAAAATCATGGAAATCAACGAAGTTCCTGCCAATAGCGGTGGCATTACATATTCATTCAAGCTCCGCATAGCAATCTTCGCGTTCCTAATCGCAAATTTGATTTACAAATATAACAAGAAACGACAACGAGATGATGTATGTTGTGACAGCTCAAAAAGCAAGGTGCAGAACGCTCCTAACGTTAAGATAGGCTGACAAGAGGTTCGCTGCCAAACACCACTGTCTACCAGCTCAGCAAAGGCTGCCATATAAATGGCCCCTTGCCTTAGATATCTTCAAGATACAGTACGAAGCATTGATGTCTGCACATTTTTAAAAGCCCAGTGCGAGTATTTCCAGAAAAATTGCCTGGCCAAAACCTATGAGGTCAAACTCCTTGGAAGGGTCGGAATCTACACGACAGATCCAGTCAATGTACAAGCAATAATCGTAAGTCATTTTGAAGGTCAGGACTTAGCTCTGATTTCCTCTAGAATTAATCTGCTCATACTTCTCTTCTTTAGATTATGGACTTGGTTCTCGACGAGAAGGATTCTATCCTATGATTGGCGAAGGCATTTTTACCCAGGACGGCGAGTCTTGGAGACATTCTCGCGACGTCATGCGACGACAGTTTGTGAGAATGCAGTATCACGACCTCAAAGTTTTAGGAAGGCCCTGTCGATACGCTACTGGCCGAACTCAAGAGCTCAGCGAGAGGTATAGTAGACTTGCAGCATTTCTTCTTCAAATTCACGCTGAACACAACTACGTCGCTTATCTTCGGTGAACCTTTCGTGGGCCTCGATCCAGCGGAGAATGAACAGTTTCAAACCGATTTCAACTATTCGGGCCTCATTACAGCGATCCGCGTCCATCTCACAGAATGGCATTGGCTTTATAACCCAAGTAATTATAAGAAGTCGTGTTCGATTGGTAAAAGATATGCCATGCAATATGTCGACCATGCACTCAAAGATATGAATCAAAATGGGACAGAAGAAGCATCTAAACGACATCATTTTATCATTGATCTTTATCAAGAGCTCCGAGATCCAGTCCTCGTACGCGATCAACTGATGAACATTCTCATGGCCGGAAGAGATACTACGGCCTGTCTAATGACCCGGGCGTTGTAAATAGCTATCCTAACTTAATGTCTCATGGCTGATCCTAATTGAATGGGTAGTCATCTATTGATTCGTCACCCGAATGCACTTGCACAATTACTCGATGAGATAACATCCACCACCAGAGAGAGCAAAGTCATAACCAGAACTCAAATAAATAAAATGACGTACCTAAAATATGTTCTTAATGAAAGTTAATTAGCTGGCCCCAAGCACTTGATATTTACTAACAGAAATGTTTCTCAAGCCAACAGACTTTACGCAGTAGTCCCCGTAAATGTGCGAATGGCAACCAAAACTACCTTCCTCCCGCGGGGCGGAGGTTCCGATGGTCTATCACCTCTCTTTCGTCCCTCAAGGCATGGGCATTGTCTTTTCACCATACCATATGCATCGAGACCCCGATATCTACGGCGACGACGCCAACGAGTTCCGACCGGAGAGATGGGAAGAAGACAGATTAAAAAATGTCGGACTGGGCTTTATGCCTTTTCATGGTGCGCCTCGAATATGCTTAGGAAGTAAGTACTCGGCGTGACTAGTGAGTATATAGATTCTGACCTCGTTTTCAGAGGGTTTCGCTTTGAGAGAGGCGTCATACGGCATCATTCGGATTCTGCAGACTTTTCCAAATATTCGTTTGCCTTCAAATTGTGAAATACTTACCCCCGGACGAGAAAAGCAGGCTCTTACTCTTGTTCTTAGAAGTGGGAAGGTTGTAATGTTGTTCTGGAGTAAAATAAAAGAATGGTTGAGAATTCTTCAAACTAATAATTTGAAGTATTTGCGTCCCGATAGCATATTGCAATGGGGAATGGGAAGAGGAATGATTAGTTTATATTGTAAAGTTTCAAATAGTTTAATTGATACGATTGATAATGGGCTGGATTATATATAACTGATATGTATAAAAGAGTAATGAAAACAGAATAATTGATATTTGATAAGGAAAAGACGAAATTCTTTTCTCATATCTAATTAGAAAGGATTAAATGATTATGTGATTGTAAAGTAATTATGTATTAACTTCAATATCTCAACTCTCTTATAATATGATTTAAAAGAAGATGTGAGCGAGCTGATCTCAAAGAGACGTTTCTCATAAACGGTGATTTATTGGACCTATGAGTACATGTACTGGAAGAACGAAGATGTCGACGTGGGATGATTACAGGAGGATTGAGCATGGTACTCGAACTACAGCAGAGGCTCTCTGCATTTTGTGTAACGATAAATTGATTGCTATCTCCTTGGCATATCACCGTTTTATTAGCCCATTCACCTCACCGAGTTGGACTAGTAAGGCTTTACACCCCTCGATTCTGTACACAGCCGATATTTGTCGTTGGGGTGACCAATGATCATTGGAAGTTTTATTCTTCCTTAGAATTAGAGCCATAGGCGTGAAATGAAACAGGGCACACATGTAACTCTCAGCTCAGGGTTGAGGTTGTTGGCTTGAGGGCTAATAAGCAAACACAACAGGCAGGCTATGTAAGAATTGTTCCCATGAATTTTCACGCCTTCACAGAGGGTTATCTAAGGACTACGAGACTCATGAGAAAACACTGTCGCTTTAATTGATGCTAGATTGTCTCTTCGAACACCAATACCACGTGTCGTTCTATTCCGACTTTTACCAGGTTGAAACCCACGTCTTCGCCTTTCTGGATGTCGCTGCCGGGACCATAGGACTTCTAGATGTTTGCTTGCGGGTGGGAAAATATCTTTACTCATTGAAGAATTCGGTTGCCGATATTGAGAAAGACTTGACAGGCTTACAAAAAGAGGTTGATTCTATCCGATCTATTCACTCTTCTCTTGAGAGAATTTGCCTTGCTCACCACAATCTATACCTGGAAGACCTCGACCCGATTCAGTTCAGGCCTCAAACTTGTGGGATCTGTCGGCAAGAATCTCAGTGATGCTAAGGCATCCGTGCTAGAGTTGGAACTCTACTCAAAAAGATCATTGGCGAGAAAAAGAATAAGTACGAAGATGCATCATCACATGAAGCAAGCAGCACTACTAAGAGTGACCCCTAGCCGAGATTTGATGGGCTTAAAAGAACACGCAAGCTACAATTCAAAGAACAGAATTTGCGTCAACTACAACGAAGACTTGGAAATTGCCAAGATAGTCTCCAGATTTTGTCAATTGCTCTAAATCTATCCGTATAATTATGTTTGTCAAATATCACATCTAACCACATCTAGATTATATACAACTAGCACATACGATTCGACGGAAGTTTCGAATCCCTTGAATCATCTTTTCGATAAAATGGATGAGGTCGAACAACTTCAATTCCAGTTGAAGTATAGTCTGGGCGCATTGAAACCTCGACTAGTCGAAGTATCTGGTAATGACAACGTAAGTGAACATGTTTCCCGAAAGTGGCTTGTTCTAATTCTAGTAGCTTCACAGTACTATCAACTCTGCCGCCGCTGTTGTATCATCGATTCAATTCAACAAACACTTTTATATTCCTCAGAATGTCAGCAGTATTTTTACTGGAAGGGAGTCATTACTGGAAGAACTCAAACACGCGTTTGACATTTCGTCACCATTGGAACGGAATCACACTCAGCGACGATTTGTGATTTACGGCCTTGGAGGTTCAGGCAAGACACAATTCTACTGTAAATTTGCGCAGGATAACAGAGAAAAGTAAGGATCTAGCACAAGAGAATGTTAAGACAAGACCACGAGAACGATTGCCGCCCAGTATCTGAGACGATTGAATCTTGATGTGTTTTAAATCATGGGCTAATGATGATTTTAGCTTTTGGGCAATATTCTGGATAGATGCCAGTTCCCAGGAAAGTGCACGACATACATTTTCGGATATAGCCAACATAGAAAAAGTCGAACCAAATGAGTGAGCAGCAAAGAGCTGGCTCTCAAGTCTCGTACAGCCGTGGCTCCTGATCATCGATAATGCTGATGAGCGAAATGTGTCCATAGAGGAATATATTCCAGCGGGTTAACGTGTCTTTATCCTAGTGACTACGCGTAATCCTTCAAATAAGGTTTATGGAACTTTGAGTCGTCATTTCTACGTTTGAGAGGTTAGAAACAGGCAAAGCAAGCGATCTATTATTGGAGGCAGCAGAACAGCCTAGCCCATGGAGTATTAATGTCCGAAAATCTGCAGATAGTATTGCGACAGCTCTTGGCTTTCTACCGCTAGCACTTCTACATGCTGGAAAGGCAATCATGGATGGTCTTTGCTCACTCGATAATTATCTAGATAGTTATGGTCGAAGTTGGATTAGGATTCGATAGAACTCATATCGCACCCGAGAGAATTCCCGAATGACTCCTGACGACCGGAAAGTGAATATGAGCATTTATTCTACATATGAAATTATCTATATTGGACTCGAGCACAGAGATGGAGAGGACTCAAGAGACGCAGCGGAACTTCTCAAAATGTTGTCTTTCTTGTACCGAGAAAATATTGAGTTTAGTATGTTAGTCGCAGCAGCTACCAATCCCCCAATAGAGAAGAAGCTACAGCAAGCTAGGTCAAAGGTGATGTTAGTTGTACCCAAGAAACGTCCGAAATGGAGACAAGTGCTCTGGGAATGGGCAATAGCATCAATGGAGCCCATTATGAGAGATTGTGAGCCTCCAGTCCTACCTTCTGCGCTTGAAGAGGTTAATACAGGGCATCCATTCGATGAAGACTGGCTCAGGAATGCTTTAGCATTACTTTCGCAGCTTGGACTAACAATGCATAACCCAATATCCGATAGCTATTCGATACATCCAGTGGTGCATATTTGGGCGCGCGAAAGACCCATGACGAGCACGTCAGAACAAGCTATCTGGTCCCGGGCCACTACAAATGTATTGGCACGATCCATACTCATTCAGCCGCCACCCGACAAACTGGATCTCGATGAAAAGCTACGGCGCAGTCTGCTACCGCACGTAAAACATGTACGGGATTATCAGCAGAGGATTTGCTCCCAATTGGTTGAGAATATGGAAGCACGCAAGACGCGGAAACGAGCGTGGGTTTTCCCGCTAAGAATCGTGCCTGCGGCATTTGGTCGACAGGAAGCTGCCGAGTTCACGAAATTCGGTCTCGTGTATTCGAAAAACGGCGAGTGGAAAACGGCTGTGGCACTTCAGGAGGCAGTGCGAGATTTCCTATGTGCGAAGCTTGGGAGCGATCATTTCTTAAGTATAGGGATTACGCGCTTGCTCGTGGGCACATATTTCTAGCTATCACAGAATACCAAGGCGATGGGATTACAAACAGGTGCTAAAGATTTGTTTGGATTCGTTAAGAGAGGAGCACCCCACTACGTTGAAGGTTAAGGATACTTTGGCTTCAATGTTATCACGTCGAGGACAGTTCAATGAAGCAAAGAAGATGCTCGAAGAGGTCGTCGAAACCATGACGCGCGTTTTGGGTCCTAATCATGAAGACACTTTAATCGCAAGACACAACCTCGGAAAAGCACTATCAAATTTTTTCCTCCACGGCGAAGCATTAACCGTGCAAACAGACGTCCACTCACGCATGACATACACTCTCGGCCCCCTGCATCTATCCACGCTCAATGTACAAGAAAGCATCGCCGTTGCATATCTCCATCTCGGGCGCAGCAAAAACGATTTACAGAAAGCACTCGACCTTATAATACTATAATTTTTCCATTCAATATATTTCATTCATTGCCCCCAATTTAAACTCTTCATAATCATAGTTAGGTAATTAATTGTAAGTAAGATTACTTGTATCCATTTAGTATGTACTATAAGTACCAAGTACTAAGTATATACACCACAATCAACATCCATTTATATTCATATTCATATTCATGCCTCTCTATTCATTCAATCATCCAAACCTTTTCATTTCCCAACCCCAACCCCAACCTATTATCCCACCGAAGACGGATCCTGTTGATTTAACATCCATCCATCCATCATATATCATATCATATGATGGATAGATATCTTAGGTAGCCTCCCATCCATCCATCCATCCATCCCTATCAAATCAAATCATTCCTCATATAAAATCATAAAAATACATCACTAACATCCTCATCTGCTCTTCTAATCCCATCCCATCCCATCACAACACATTTTCTCCCTCCCTCTTTCCATCCATCCTTCCATCCTTCTTCTCTCCCGTATCCTTCTAATACGGATAGAAAGAAAGAAAGAAAGTAGCCAAAAAAGCAAAAAAACAACAACAAAAACCCAACCCAACGCCAGAAAAATGTATCAGAACGAAAACCGCTAATGCATGTAGATAAAAGCTTCAAAAAAAAAATCTTTAACTTCGTGTTGTTTGTTACGTAGTATCGTATAAATCGTAGATTTTACTATTTCCCGTACGTGTATGTAGAGAAAAAAGGAAAAATCTTTCGTGGTGGAAATGAGATGAGATGAGATACGAGATAAGATTATATCCTAATCCATCAATCGAATCAATCAAATCGATCAATCACTGAGAATGAGTAACGAGATGGATGAGAAATCTCTCATTTCCAGAGAAGGTGAGGGAAGAAAAGAAGAGAAGAGAAGCAAAATTATATATGCATCCTCTCATCTCCTCGAACTCCTATCTCTTCTCGGACTCCTCGTTCTCCTATCCGAGCTTTCGGAACCTAGAAATCGCAAACTCGTTAGTCACCATATCCTTAAAAATTTCATTTCATCTTTTTTTAATAAAAAAAGAGAAAAGAATAGGAAAATACTCACTAGCACTCGTCGCCGTATAACTATCCGTATAATAAGTACTACTAATATCCGTCACCGTAGTCGTAGGCCCCGGCCTCATCTTCTCATCTCTCCTCTCATCCTCCTTCCTCTTCAAACCCAACAAGACGGCCATACCGACCAATCCCGCGCCCACGGCACCCAAGCCCCCCATCCCACTACTCTTCTTCTTCCTCGTCTCCTCCACCCTCATCGGTTTAGTACCCCCGAAAAATCCAGTGTGTTCTTCTCTCCGAGCCGCTGCTGCCGCTGTTCCACCCATCGTAGACCCATGACGCGAATATCGCTCTACAGTCTCAATACGTTCTGTTCTCACAGCGCGACCTCCTTGTCTACGCGATCCTCTGCCGCCTGCAAAAACTCCCAGGAACGAGTCCCAGAGTCCCTTGACAACACAGCAGAAACACAAAAGCAGGAGTAAAATAACTCCCAGAATGGTGCCAATGACAATCCCCGCAATAGCGCCTGCACTCAAATTATTCGAGCTGGCACCCGTAAGCGGGAGTGTACTTCCGCTCGCAGTAGCAGGAGGAATAAAAGGCTCTGTAGTTGTAGCGCTCACTGTAGCCGTCTTGGTCGTTGCACCGCTCGTCGGACGCAATGGTGCTGAATACGTGCCAGTAGTAGTAGGCGTGTAAGTCCAAGCTGAAGTTCTCGCGGTGCATTGTCCGCTATACTCGCACATTTGATCACTAGCGCAACAAATAGGTCCACAAGATGTTTGACCCAAACCAGTATCGCAGATGGCGGCGCTTCCGCTGGAGGTGGTGACTGCCGTGTACGAACTGAATGTGCTGGTTGCCACATGTAAACCGGTTTCAGTGTATGTGGTTGTGAAAACGGCCCAACCTCCAGTGCTGGACGCCGAACAGTATGCTATGTCGCCTGCGGAGGTGTAGCAGGCATCGCCGGCTGCGCAACAGTATTGGGCATCTGCTCCGCAGGGGGTAGCGCAGGTTCGTTCCATGAGGTAGGACAAACCGAGATCGTTGAGTTCATCTCTAGGGAGAGGACTAGCGGATACTGGTGAGGAATGGGAGAGGGCGAGGAGGAGAAGTGAAAAGAGTTGTGGTTGTGCTTGGGAAAGTCGCATTTTGTCGGTTGTGAGATGATGTGATGTGATGTTGATTGTATGTATGAAAGTCGTAGATAGGAGTAATCACTCGCAAAAGATTGTACAAAAAAAGAATCGTATGTACTGTCAAATCAATCTCTTGATTATTGACTCCTCTTCGTTCTCTTTCCTCCAGCAAAAAAAAGAGAGATCTTCAGGTACTGAATGAGTCCTTCACATGCAGCAGCGGTGTGAAGTAAAATAGCTCAAAGATAAATGGCCAATCCAAAAGTCCAAACCCCACTTTCGACAAGACTACCACTTTGAAGAGTATGTATATATCCTCTCTAATCGCAAAGGTCGTCTCGGTTCAAACGAATGTAAATCAGTCCCGAAAGTCTTATCGATATGAATTGTCGGTATCGATATAGATGAAACAAATTTTGAAAAGGTATCTCTGGAATGGAAGTAATTATTTTTTTGAGGAATGGAAAAGAGAAACTGCAACAGAAGTGTGTGTGGGTGGGAATACCACTTATTCAAAATGTCGATGGCTGAACCTTTTTTGGCTCTAAATAAATTGCTGGGCTGGGGATGGAGTTGACCGTTTTTCCCAACCACCCAAATTTTGATGGTTCTTTACCAAGGCGAATTTCTTGATTTTAAGACTACGTATAATGAATGAATGACATACGTATTTTGAATGGATCTGATTCAGATGAAAGGAATTAATAAATGTAATTGTGAAGTCTACTATGAATCTCTGGTGAAGAGATTATTTATTGATTGGTGATGATTGAGAGTTGAGATATTATGTATAGAATCATCTATACATCAGTACCTGCAGCTATTCGGCAAGATAATTGTTTACATTTATCGCTAGCGGGGCGACAATCAGGCGATAAGCATAAAATTTGGGTACAGTTGAACCGCTTGATAGGCTTTGGGCATTGATAAACATCACAGAATGGTAACCGAGACTCGCCACGATCAGTATTGTATCCAAGCTTTCTTAAATGTTGTCTAGATTCATGCATACAATTGGATCTCGAGATGTGAGGAAGCAAAGAAGAACCATATGGAATTTACTATATATGCAAAGATCCCATTCAGGTTTTGAGATGGAGTAGTCCGTACATATTGTACATATTGTGGGCGAGCTTGTTTGGAAACATGGTAAAATGGAGCTCACCGAATAGAGATACTCATTGTTGTATGCCAATGTATGGAAAACTACTCGAGATCTATTCACCTTCCTAATCCACTTTTGAAACATTGTTAACCCCCACAACCTCACACCGACACCAAACCGATGGCGTTATCACAATCAGTCAACCAGGTACGAGCAAAGTACAGGTTCAAGTACCTGCTTTTAACTTCTAAGCCTACTCTATTTTAAGAGTTGGTTCACGGAATGTTTTCATTCCTTGGAATTTGAAGTTTATGCTATGGAGTAAACCTTCTTGTACTCAAGGCCTAGGAGAATTACCGCAAACACCGAAAGAATATTCAGCAAGCACAAAAACACTTTGTAATACACACAATGAAAAGACCCGAACGGATAAAAATCCCACTCGCTCGAAGAAACCCACTCAATACGACCCGGCATCCATCATCGTCGAAATATGAAACAAAAGTCTCCAGTCCCTGCATCAAACAACAGTCGACCTACAACTTTGACAGCAAGTATCCAGATCGGATAACCACTCTAGTACTCGGTCTGTAGGTCTTATATGCAAGACACTAATTCCAACGTTGTGTTTCTCAACATGTGGATACATTGCCACGTCTCCCAATGTTCGGGGATCTTGGCGGGGGGATATCATGAATGCGAATGAATGGTTGGGCGAGTTGGAAGAGAGTATGCAAACTTCAGATGAAGAAAAAAATTAGATGAAATTGAGATGAAATTGGTTTATAGCGGTACAAGTGTATTTGCCATCTGTTTCGTGATCCGCTTGGTCAACTTGGCCGCAATATTCAGACTGCCGAACCGAAGTACGGAGGTAAAATATTCAGATGAAGAGAGCTTCTAAAACATCTCCCGTGACTTAAGTCCCGCCTGAGAAATAAATCTCTGCTTTTTGGATAGCTAAAGACAAGGAGGTTGTCCGTCTTCCATTCTACTTTCGCTTTTGCTCACAAGCATAAAAATTGTGTGGAACATTAAGTCAATAATGTTCGTCGAATCATCCAATCTGTCCAAATGATGCAGATAAATGTCGCAAATCCCTTGGAGATGATTCACTATTATTGTATTGCATCAATCCGTAAAGGTCTTGTAAATATACTCAAGCTGAAGGAGGGAACGAAAGCAACTTTGAAATCATCACCAGCTTCGAGCTCCAAGGGCCGTATATATCATCTATCCCAAATTATATCCTGCAATTACTCTCCTCAACCATGGCTTCATTGTGAGTGGGATATGAAAATTGTCTCTCTGAGGAATTCCCAATTCTGTGATGTACCGACAATGAGGTTCTAGATGGCGAAATATTCTTTTTACGCTAAGTTAGTGTTAGAAGCTACTTGGAAATTACCCCTCTCGTTCCTTCTTTATCCAAAGCAAAGCCATTTCACATAGGTAATCTTCAATTTCTAGCATCCCGACGAGTCATCATTCTTAAAAAAAAGTCTTCAAGTGTATTCATCCTCTCGGACTCATCTTATCGTATTTATTGCATCAATTACTTCGAACCGTATGTGCATTGGGTTCTTTAATCACAATTGCGCATATATGGACTAAGTTTCTGTCAATATATCATTCATCCTTAGTCTATTATTGTTTACAAGGAATTGGATTTTTAGAATCATAATTCGTTATATTGAAATGATCATCAGGACTTCTTTGGTACAAGGTCATCTTCTTCCTTTCAAGGATGATCACGTGAATTCCGTCCGCCATCCACAGTTTTCTCTCGAGGACAACCTGAGGTAAAATATCAATAAATAGTCTGCTATACATTTGCCATAGACTCGTTCGATTATTCTAGCAAAGATAGATCCGTATTCTCACCTTCCATATGGGTTTATACGGATTCTTTTGATTCTTTCATAGGTTCGGTACCAGGATTTTTACTCCTTAAAATTGATGGTACAAGATAGGTTACCACGGGACGAAGTGTTGGCAAGCAGGCACTAATGATTGCTACATCTATTTCAACAGCGCTCCAAAGAGCAAGACCGACATAAGTCCCTACAATTGATCAGTAAAATTCATCACTATGCCAAGTTTTCCTTACATGTCATATCCAAAGTGTCCAATTTCAACACGAAATATATCCGCAATCCACTTGCAACAACAACACTAAAGTCTGATTAGTATGCCATGATCTCAAATGATTTCTGCATAGTCCAGACTTACAAACCACCCAAAAGAAACATTCCCGAAACAGCAGCCTTTGAACTTGTCGACATTTTCAGGTGCCATAAACCCGGCATCGGTAACCCCAAAATAACAATATCCGCCAAAATGTTCGGAATAGAATTCCCTACAAAAAACCACTTGAAATCTATACATTTCGACTCGACAGTCAAATCCCAAAATCCGTTGATGGGTTTGCAGGAAAAAATGCTGACTAGTAATGCTGCTATTCCCCAAAACAAAACAAAAATGCCGGTGAGATTTGTGGCTAGTGTCATTCTTTTGCTAGGGAAGATGGAGTAGTAGAGGATGAGGATGGAAATTTTTATCATGGGAAATGTTATGCTGTAGAATATCTCGGCGATGTAGGTCGTCTGATATCTTGTTAGGGTCATGAGGGATTGAGTGTATGTGAAAAGAAAACCTACAAGGAGAATCTGTCGGAAATCTCTTGGGGTTGTGTATTGGATATGATGTCCCAACCCAATTTTAGTATCTACTCACTATCATCAACATCATTTTCGAGGCGTTAATTCCAAGGGGAAGATTAAGGGATCTCTGGTACGTGGAAGAGTTTGATATAGGAGTAAAGTAGTAAGTAAAACCCAACAAACCTTCAACAACAATCAAAGAAATAACCCAAGCGCCCATAATCCCACCGATAATCAAAAAGTCTGAAGCAGAAAGCGCGACATGATTTATTCTGCGAGAAACGATGCGTCCAATGAGAGCGAGTCCGGATATCACTATACAAACTATTAGGGAACTGTTTATGTAAGTGCCTTGATTGGTATCCATTGTGATGGAGAGGAAGATGCAGAGATGAAGATGCAGAATAGAAATGGATTAAGAAAGTGTGCGTGGATAACTTATTAAGGATTCTAGGATTTGTATCTAAGAACTAGATTTACGATTTTTCGACTTTTTTCCTTTTTTGTATGGGAGAATTTTGGAAGAGTAGGTAGCATGATAAAAAGCATCTCAAGTGAGAACCCCCCCAATGATAAATCCGCTACATACATAGGTATATACAGCTAACGTAACTTGACTAGAAGTGGGTCATGTCATGATATGGGTCACAAAAATCATATTTTCCTATTTGACCTTGTCCTATATGCTACAGGGTGATCTACAACTATCACTGATCCAACTGAACTATCACTATCCTCTTCTTCTTCCATCTCCTCTTCTACCTGATCAATTTGACGCTTGGATGATCTACCACGTCATCGTTTTAGTAAAGGTGTCTGTTCAGCCTCCTCGATAATTTTCAATACTTCCTCAGTACTAAATACAAATTCACCTTTTAATTTTATTCTCTTTTTATTTTTTCATTTCTTTCATATCTCAAGTAACTCTTCATATTCTTGAATTTCCTTTCGAAGAATAGCATTTTCAGCATTTAAGCTTTCAATCTGATGAGTAATTCGCTTTACATATCTCTGTACTGGAGAAGTAGGCAGATTATTAGCAGATAAAGCTGAATTGAATATCTGATTTGCTTGTCGTAGCTCAATATCATTTGGGGGAGAGCTATTAAGTAAAGAAAGATCTAGATCTTCTGGATTTGATGGTGTATTTGGAGTGGAAGGTAGTGGTAAAAGCGGGGCTGGAAGATTATTCAGAACTTGACGAGGACTAAATGGATTCAAACCTGCCTCTTTCCATCCGCTTTTGATATTTTGATAAATAAGACCTTTTTCTCTTATCTTCTGAAAAAGCTGTACCCAATCAGATCGTTGTATTCGTTGTATTCCTGCTCGAGAGTATCGATCAACCTCTTGGGCATGATATCGCTTCATTGGCCCATACACTCCAATATCCAATGGCTAAAGTAGATGCGAGCAATGAGATAGTAGAATAAGAAGATCAATCTCTTTTTCAATACAGAAAGCAATCAAACTTCCTGTAATATAACTGGAATGACTATTCATAATCAATAATCGAGGCTGATCACCTAATATTTTTTGAGATTCTGACTCAAAAACCTTACGTATCCATTCCAAGCCATGATTATTAGAAGTCCATCTACTATTACTTGTTGAGAAATACCAATTTGGAGGAGTATTAGTAGGAATCCATACAGTATTGGTATTCTGAGCCTTGAAAATGATTATAGGAAGTAAAGAACCTCCATCTGTATTAACACATTCCAATACAGTTATCCATTCTTGTTTTCCTACTGTAACCTTCCAATTCGATTTGAGAGTAGAATCTACGATTATATGTATTGATTCTGTTTCTCCAATTGTATATCCTGTCTCATCCATATTATATATATTCTTGAGTTCATAATGCCGTTCTTCGATTTGTGTTTGAAATGTTGAAAACCACACTGATATTGTTTCAAATGTGGCTTCTTTATGCCTTGCAGATTCCAATTTGCGAGAATAAGTTCCTTTGAGTTTAGGATATCAATCTAAGAATCTATAGATCCATCGTTGATCTATATGATTTAATTGAAAGGATGGAGAGGTAGATGATGATGCGAAAATGACGTATTGATTCAGAATTTCTTGGGCCATTTCTTTCAACAACCCAGGAGTTGCAGGGTATCCAGTAGTTGTCAATTGTGAGATCCATCGTACTAGAGTCTTCTCTTTTGCATTGGAAAGTTTTTGAAAGGATTTGTGAGATTGAGAGCGTGATTGTCGTCCGGTTATTCGATTTATTAAGGTTGACTTCGGAATCTTAAAATGAATAGCAGCACTTCGAATTGAAGTAAATTGTTTATCTTTTAGACTTTCTATAGCCTTTTGAATATTATCTTCCGATTCACTACGATTTAATGACTTTCGATCCATTGTGTGTTGAATAAACGCGTAAAATAAAGAAATGAGGGGGTGATTTTGACCCATATCATGACATGACCCACTTCTAGTCAAGTTACGTTATATAAAGCACAGCAAACATCAAACACCAAACATCGAGCAGGAAATCAAAAAAGTTCATTCGTCTTTATGTCGTAAGATCGAGCACAACATCAAATTGTTCGTTCATCCGTCTTATGTTTTACAAGAAGAAGCCTCTGTTACAACGCTATGATTCTTGTATTCTTGGTTCCTTTTTGGTATTACAATTTATGAGTAGGGAATCGGGATTTGCGGTTTGTGTACTGTATGTAGAATGTATAAAGCTATGTAATCTTAAGATTATATCTGGAAAATCCTGTATCGATATCCCTACATGTTATGTACAAAAAAAAGCAACTTATTAGCCGATTGAGCCGCTGCACAACATGCTGACTGCAGATTCTTGGGCATAGACAATCAATGATCTATGAGCTGGTGGGGTTTGGGTTTGGGTTAGGGGTAGTTGGTGTTGCTGAGCTTTTCTTGTTCCTTGTTTCTTATTTTTGGTGTAGGGTGGTGTGGTGTGGTGTGATGATGGTGATTCGGGGTTTATCATGGTTGTTGTTAGAGATTGATGGAATGGTTGGTTATATTTATATTGATTTTTGGATATATGTGTATGTATATATACGTATATATATATGAGTAGAGTAAGGTAGATATATCTTTGAAGGTTTAATATTAGGAATTAGGATTATAATGTAGTGATTGAAAATCATTAATTACTCTATATGTATTAATTACTCTGGATGTATTAATTTCATATTTCATATTTATTATTTAATCTTTATCTACTCAGTAATGACTCTGTTCTTCTTTTGTAATTTCTATTTATACTAGGTTTGATATCGGTTCGAGTTTGTTAAAGATGTAATCTTACACATCTATAAGTATTCCCTATTATATTTCCTTTTATATCGATATTCCTATATATATCTCCTAAATACTACATCCTTTTATTCACAACAAACTCCCTTATATCCTTCCCTTAGAGAATCCTCTACTCTTTTTTTCCTCTTGATCTCTATAATCTATGATTCTTAAGCTTCCTCTATATACACATTCACATCCACATTTTCATCAATACTTTCCCAACTTCATTTCATTTTTCCATTCCGCAGATTTGCGGGTTGTTGATGAGATGAAATGAATGTAAAATAAAGATAAATATTTTATTTCAGTCCTTGAAAATAGTTTTACTTATCAAGTCAATATCTAGCTTTTTTAATAATAGTTTCATATAACTTTTAATACATCCCAAATCTTCCAAATATACCAAACCCTTTCATCCACACCCATATCCACTAACCACCATCTTCATCCCCATCCCCGTCCTAGATCCTAATCCCAATCTTAATCTATCTAATCCTGTCGGGTTCCTTGAAAAATACATCATTACTCCACTTCCCTCTCTATTCCCTCCATTTCCTTTATCTACCTCCCCGGCCCTACCTCTCTCTTTTAGCTCCTCCACCTCCGGATCCCCAAAAACCTTACCCCCTCCTTTTCTATAATTAGTCTAATATTCTACATTCTATATCCTCATCCTCATCTCCCCTTATACAAATACAAATATAAATACAAATATAATCCGTACCCAAGAATCTATACGGTGAGAACTGAAGTTGAAGTTGGAGTTGGAATTTTGATTCCTTTTGTTCATTTCCTTTCCTTCCTTGATATCTGTGTCTGTATTTTCCATATCGAGATTATCTAAATTAAGTATGTACATACTCATCGACCGTTTCTTCGACTTTTTTTTCTAATCTCAACTTCTCTTGTGTTATTCGTTTCATCCCCTCCTCGTCTTCATATTCAAACAATGAAGCACTATCCAAAGCTAGACTATCGACCTGCGCCAGATGAGATATTCGCATCGGTAACTTTATCCGGCGTTCAAGTTCTTCGCTCGGTTGATTTGAATTCTGCTCCTGCTTCTCTATCCTTGAGGACGAATCCAAAGAAGTAGAAGAATAAGAATCCTTAGCATCTAAAAGAATCTCTACGAAACTTCCCCTAGATCTTGTATGAATTATCTTATTCCATTCGTTTATACCTGTCTTTTCTCCCTCTCCAGAATCACCACATCTATAGCGTCACTTTATATGTATATTATAGCCATATCTATATCCATTTTTACCATCTTCTTCCTCCCCCTTCCCCTCAACACCTAACCCCAACCCCAACAAACCCCCAATTCACATTCCCATTCCCATTCACATTTTTCCCTCCACAACCTCTAACTCCACCACCATTAAGACATCCCATCATCTCAGTACCAAAATCCCGACTAACCCGTATATCAATCCCCCCCCCCCCCCAATCTCCCCCAAGATCCTCGAACAATCTTCCACAGACCACTGCCTCACACTATTAAGCTTTTTCCTCTTTTCCGTTTTCTCTCATCCACAATTACCTCATCCTCCCCAATATCTGCTTCCTCATCCCCAATTCCCTCCACATTCACATCCCCATTCCCATTTTCTCATCCTCAAAATCCACAAAATTTCGAAAACGGGGACGAACCCCGTGAGATGGCGAAAAATCTTCCCAAATTTTCCATCTTTGCGTCTTTCCAGCTTTCCAAGTTTGCGTCTTTCCATCTTTGCCGACTTTTCCGGTGTTTCAACTTTTCCATCTTTCCAACTTTTGCATGTTTTCCAACGTTTCCATCTTTTTCCAGCTTTCCAACCTTTCCAAGCTTTTCAATCTTTCCACCTTTCGCACCTTTGCCCTCTTTTCCATCTTTTGCATCTTTTCCCACT